AACAAACAAACACCCCTAGAACTAATGAACGAGTCTGGTAAAAACTGAGGGTACAAAGTCAATACAAAAAAAATCTATTATATTTCTATATACTAGCAATGATCAATTAGAACCCATGCTTTTTTAAAAAATCATTTATAATAGGACCAAAAATTGAAATACTTAAGTATAGATTTAATCAAGTACTTACAGGATTTATATGTTGAAAACTACAAAACATATATGAAAGGAAGACCTAGGTAAATGGAGAAAAATACTATGTTCTTACTGGAAAAACTCAATTTTGTTAAGATATCAATCATCCTTGTTTATCTATAAAACACAATCCCAATCAAAATCCTAGCATATTTTTTTGGTGTGGATATTAACAAGAGGATCCTAATATTTATATGGAAAGGCAAAAGAACTAAAATAACTAAAACAATTTTTAAAAATGAATAAATATGGGAGAACTCACATTACCTGATTTCAAGATTTGTTTTAAAACTATAGTAATCAAGACATTGTGATATTGGTAAAGGATAGACAAACAGATCAATGAAACACAAGAGTCTAGAAATAGGCCCATAAAAATGTAGTCAAATGTTTTTTGACCAAGAGACAAAGGCAATTCAATGGAGAAAGAATGTAGTCTTTTCAACAAATGGTCATGGAACAACTGGACAAATAAATGAAACTCAACCCTAAATTCTCTTTATGTAAAAATTAACTCAAAAAGGAAAACAGTTCTAAATTTAATATACATAAAACTATAAAACTTGTAAACAGGAAAAACCTTTGTGACGTTGGGTTAGACAGAGTGCTTATATACAATGCCAAGAGATACACATACACACACACAAATACTGATACTTTGCACTTCATCAAAATGTAAAACCTGTTTTCAAAAAGCACGGTTATGAGAATGGAAAAGGCAAGCCACAAACTGGCAGAAAAATCACTGCAAATCACCTGTTTGACCAAGGACCATGAAAAACTCAAAACTCATCATTAAGAAAGTCCAATTTGGGGACAGCGCAATCAGGATAGGGCCAGAGGGGAACAGAGGATCTGAAGCCGGCTCTACGCTGACGGGCTGACAACAGTGAGCCCGATGTGGGGCTGGAACTCACAAACTGGGAGATCACAACCTGAGCTGAAATCAGATGCTCAACCAACTGAGCCACCCATGTGCCCAAGAAAATCCAATTTTAAAATGGGCAAAAGATTTTGCTTCACCAGAAGAAGATACACAGATGATAAATAAGCATATGAAAAGATGTTCAACATATTAGTCACAAGAAAATGCAAATAAAAACCACAATGAGATAAGGCTACAAACCTATCAGAATGTAAAGGTAAAAAATCTGACCATACATAGTGATGAGGATGTAAAGTAACTGGAACATTCTTCACACATTGCTGGTAGGAACACAAAGTGGTTCAGGCTCTTTGGAAAAGTATGTTGTGTAACAAATTACCAAAGACTTAGTGGCTTTAAACAACACAAATTTATTATTTTCCAGTTCTTTTCGTTAAAAATCTGAGATAGGTCTCCCTGGGCTATAATCAAGATGCTGGCAAAGCTGTGTTCTGTTAATCCATTTCCTAGCCTTTTCCAACTTCTAAAGACCACATTCCTTTAGTTTATGACTGACTCCTCTCTCCATCCTCAAAACCGAGAACTCTTCATCTATCCCTCTGGTGCTGCTTCTGTTTTACATCTTTTTTTTTTTTTTTTCTTACTATACTGCTTCTCTCTCCCTTTTAAAAAGCACTTTCATGATACATCGGATCTACCTAGACAATCCAGGATAACCTCCCTATTTTAAAGTCAACTGATTAGCAACCTTAATTCCACTGCAACTTTATTTTGCCTTTACCGTGTAACCTAATTTATTCACAGGTTCTAGGGATTAAGCTATCTTTGTGGGCCATTATTCTGCCTACCACACACCGGTTTTTAAGTTTAAACACACACTTACCATATGACCCAGAAAGGAAGACTTATGTTCACACAAAAACTGTTCCTAGAGGGGCGCCTGGGTGGCGCAGTCGGTTAAGCGTCCGACTTCAGCCAGGTCACGATCTCGCGGTCCGTGAGTTCGAGCCCTGCGTCGGGCTCTGGGCTGATGGCTCAGAGCCTGGAGCCTGTTTCTGATTCTGTGTCTCCCTCTCTCTCTGCCTCTCCCCCGTTCATGCTCTGTCTCTCTCTGTCCCAAAAATAAATAAACGTTGAAAAAAAAAATTAAAAAAAAAAACAAAAAAAAACTGTTCCTAGAGATTTATAGCAGCTTTTTCATGGTTAAAAAAGTCTTTTTAATTTAAAAAACTAACTCAAATATCCTTCAACTGGCAAATAAGCTAACTGTGGTAAATCCATACAATGGAATACTATATTCAGCAGTAAAACAGAAGGAATTGCTGATAGCCTCACAACATGGATGAATACCCAACTATATTATGCTAAATGAAAGAAACAAGACTCAAAAGGCTAAATAAATACTAATTGATTCCGTTTATATGATAGTCTAGAAAAGACATACTCCAGGGGAAGACAACAGGTCATTAATTGCCAAGGGTTACAGGTGAAAGAAGGGTTGATTACAGAAGAGCAGCTTAAGGGAATTTTGGGTGCTGGATCTGTACCCAATTTTGGTAGTCACACAGCTCTATGCATTTGTCAAAACAATTGTCCAAGAAAAAGCATTAATTTCATTTCATGTAAATTAAAAATAAAGTTAAAATCTTTTCAAAACAAAGAAAACAAAACATCATTTATCAGATTGGCATAAAATTAATTATCTGACCATGCCACCTAACAATTCCAAGTGCGGGCAAGGATGACTTGTATACCGTTGGCAGTAATGCAAATCGTTACAACTTTAGAGGATAATGTGATAGCAGCTAGCAAAGCTGAAAACGCGCATCAACCTATGGCCCAGCAATTCCACCTACAGGTAGGTATACTTTCTAGGGAAACCCTCATACATGTGCTTGAGGAAACATGCACAAAGATACTCACTAAACATTGTTTAAAATACTGAAAATCTGAAAACAAAATAATTGAAAAACTGAAAGCAGTGAAGTAATTGCATTCAGTGGTTATTTAAAAAAAGAAAAGAAATGCAGGAAGATTCAATCGTGCTAGCTACATATATGATTTTGAGAAGAATAGTTTACTGGTTTATCTAACAATAGTATATAGTGAAAAGAGCACTGTACTTGGAATCTGGAGACAAGTATTCAGCATTTAGTTTCAACTTTGCCACTAATAAGCAGTCAAACTATGGACTCCTTAACTCTATAAACCTCACTTTCCTTTTCCTAGAAAATGAAGATGTTAAGCTATACAACACTAAGATTATTTCCAACTCAAGAATTCTATGATTCAATAAATATATAATCAAGAATTATAAAGAATCTATGTTGAGAAACCATTTTTTCTCAGACACCCTGAAATCAGAAACTATCAGAGAAACAGAACATCTTAGTATATTGATACATAAAATGGACCGAATTTCCTGGTTTGTGATGAACTTTTTAATCAAGATCATAATTTATAAAGAGCATATAAACCGCAAAACCCACCATACTGACTTGGGTCACCCTCAGGCAAAATTCTCCCATTTTAATATTCTAAATCAAGTTAATATTATTAATGAGTCCATCTTTACTTGTCAAGTTCAGGTCTGTCTACCAAAAGTCATTTAGATACATGATAAAAATTATTTTTTTAAAAAAGATAAAATAATGAATTGCTTTTCGTATTTTTGCCTGTTCATCTATAAAGATCTTACATTATAATTTAATGGCTTCAGCCTACTGCAATAGTTTAAAGAGCCTTTTAAAGTTTATTATGCCATGTCCACAGGGAACTAGTGAAAAAAAAAAAAACCACACACGCACACACACAGTAGTTCATAATTCAAAAAAAGCTTACTTAACAATTTCATTACCACCAATATTTAAACATCAAAGACACCAATAACCACATGTCATTTGCTCCTACTGCAGAATTTAATAGGTTATTAACTTCTGGTATATTCCAAAGGCATAATTAGGATACTATTATTAAAGCATGAGATTACTTTTTTAAAAATCAGAAATATTAACACCTTTTACCTTGTCAAGAAAATCAGTATTTCAAAAGTCCTGTTCTATGGGCTTTCCAAATCTAAATTCTTACAATTCTAAACAAGCAAGGAGATAAAACACACACTTACATACTTCTAAAAACCTAGCTATCAGATTTTAATTTTAGCGCCACTGCCAAGAAAAACCTTCCGACCAAAACCTAAATTCCGTACACATTACTGTATGCCAATCAACTAAACAGAAGGTGAGTTGTTATTATTATTAGGAAGTTACATAATTTGCACCAAAGATTATTTAAAGCGTCTTTCATTAAATGAAGGTTACAACAATTTACAGGCTTCAAAGTTCACCTTGCAAACTTGAAGTAAATTATCAGAAACCATTAACGACATTAGGGTTTTCTTTAAAAGTGGACACAAGGAAGTAGAAACTGTTTATTTGTTTAAAGAACGCAAAGAGCAGCCGAATACCAGGAGCTGAGTCAGGCAGAGGAACGCTGACTACATTCCGTCTTCTAAAGGAAAGTGTTCGCCCCGCCGATCTCCCCTTCCCGCTTTAGGGGGAGTCCCAGGAGTCGCGAACTCGGGGCCGGAGGCGCAGAGAAGAGGGGACTCCCTGCTGTGCCTCCGGCGTCTAGGGCAGAGCAGGCAGGAACCCCCGCCAGGGTGGTCCCACGCCAAGGCAGAGGGAGCGGGCAGGGCCTGCCAGCGTTCCCCCCGGGGGACAAAGGTTGGACTCACGCCCTGCGCCGCCAGCCCGCGGCTCCCGCCGCCTGGAGACGCCAGCAGAGCAGCCGCCGGTCCCGCCCGGGCAATGCGAGCGGCGGGTGGGGGAGGGGACAAGCCCCGCCGCCCCTCCCCCGACGCGCTCCCGGGGACCTGTTGATTAAGATCTCTACACAGAGCCGCCGCTGGTCCTCTTACCTCTGCGCCACGGCGGCCGGCGATCCTCCCGCCCCGGCCGCTCCCACACACTGCACAAACGACAGCTCCCCTGCGGCACTTAAAATACCGGATAAAGAACCCAGAAACTCCCGATTCCCCACCTCACAATCCTTAGACCCCGCCTGCGCCCCACCGCCAGTCGCCGCCGTCACCGCCGCCACCGCCGCCAGCAAGTCCGCCTCGAGACCGCGCGAGACCGGCCCCCGCGGCCGCCGCGAGACCGCGCACGCGCCCCCGGCACGCTGGCGCAGCGGGCGCGCCTATCCCAGTTCCCTCCTCGGCGCGCCCCGCCCGCTGCTAGGCCCGGAGGCTGGCGCGGTTCGCCCAATCCCGCGCCGGCGTGGAGGGAGGGCCCACTCGTTGGTCCGCCCCGCAGCCCCGAGCCCTGGGTCGCGCGCACTCGCGCGCCTCTAAGTGAAACGCGAGCTGCTTTTTGCTCGTCCGCGTGAGGCGACCGCTTTGAGGTTGAGCCGCCCGGCCGAGCCGTGTGGGGACGTGAGATTTCCCTGAGACTTAGTCCGACGCGGGCTGTAGTCGGGAGAGCCCTTGACCTTAGTCTCCCTGACTGCCCGTCAGTCAGCTCCTGAAGAAAATCTGGTTCCCGTTGAGGCAACTCCAGTGTTCTGTGAGGCACGTCACACAATCTAACATTTGTTTAAAGAACCATGACATACTTAAACACCTGGATATGTGTAGCGTCCCACAGAATTCTCTGTTACGGCAGAAAACTCCAAAAAGCTAGCAGCTAGGACCGAGTTCTGAAAAACGGAAAGGAAGAAGCGCCGGGCCACAGCTGTTTCACAAAACTCGAGTGAATGCACTTAGTTACCTGGGCCACCCCGTATGCAGTGCAAGGAAATCCACAAAAAGTCTCCAGGACTCCTTAGAAACTGTTAGTCACATCCAAAAAGGAAATAAAAAAGGCGTGTATGTGACCTATTTTCTCTTAAATGCGTAAAGTAAATAATAATTCAAGAAGCTTCCTCTAAGCTCCTCAATGAGTTCTTCCTCTGGCACAGGGTTTCCCAGTCTTAGCGCTATTGAATTTGGACCAGCTAATTTGTCATGGGGGCTGTTCGGTGCATTGTAGGGTGTTTAGCAGCATCCCTGGTCTCTCCCTATTGGGTGCCAGTAGTACCACTACCCCCATTGGTGACCAGCAAAATGTCTCTAGACGTTGCCAAAGGTCCCCTGGTGGCAAAATCGCCTGCAGTTAAGAACCACTGATCTACCTGTTCAGAGAAATGGCCTCTTAGGAAGATAGTCACTCTTTACCCAGATCTTCCAATTGCCTGGCCCCAAGCAGGTTTACAAAACACCACCGCCCAAATGAACCCTCCAGCTACCTAGCCTTGTTTCACCAGCTGCTTGGACTCCTCTGTCACAGGACCCCACCCTAATAGAATGGCGATCACTATCTGTGTGAGAGAGCAGCTACTGATCTCAAAATATGGGGAAATACCTTTCTAAAGTGCTTTCCAAATATTATTTTTACTTCCTAAAGGTATTTTCGTTTTAAAAGAGGGTGGACCCAATGGCAGATAAAAAAAAAAAATGTATTCTCTGCTAAATATTACATTCCCAGAATCCCCAAATCATTCAAATTACTATCCTTGTGTGCAGAAGAAGAAGAAGAAGAAGAAGAAGAAGAAGAAGAAGAAGAAGAAGAA